TATTTGAAGATGAGGATGGTTTAGACAAACCCGCTCAATTGCCATCCCTAGACGTGAGAAAGAAGAGAAGGGGAAGGAGGCCGATCGGCCAAGAGAGAAGAGGGGATTGAGAATTTTGCTTAATTGTTTGTTTATTGATTGATAATCTCCAACTAACAATACTACGTAGACTTATAGTCTCTTCTCCTAACAACTACCATAATAATTCCAAATCTCCACAATTATTCCTCATAATCCCAAATCCCCTAAAATCTCAATGAATATCCTCAAATAACAATAACAACAACAATAATAATAATAATAATGACGTAATTAAAGCAATAAACTGGTGACACGTCATCAATCCGTGCCTCCATCACAAAAATAGTAGATATCTATACCTCGCTTCACGATATTGCATGTCAGATAATAGTAATACCCGCCCCATCGCAAGTCAGATAGGGTAGTAACCGACGAGTGTGTTCAAATTGACATCGCTAGGGGGAGGGCTCAAGGGGTGGTAGGATGTTAATGCAAGCTAGGAAAATAAATACTTTAGATTGGAGGTTGGGTTATGTATATTTGGGTGGATTGCAAGGATAGTTAAAACTTAAAATACCATCCCACCCATTTGGATTTTTTTTTAAGGGTGATATAGGTTTTATCTTTTTTGGTTTATATACTACTTAAAGGATTCTAACATGCATAAGATTTACCGATTCAAAATTAGTGGTGTTATCACTAAACCAAATAAAACGGTTTTCTTATTTGAATTAGTTCGGGTTCGGATGGATACGCATTTACGAATTTTACATAAATAGGTTTTTTTTTTTTTTTTTTGCAATGATGCTAGCTCGCTCACACAAGGATTGTCAAGCAAGTTGAACATAACATTCATCAACATGGGAAGACAACTAACAAGGGTTGTAAAACAATAAAAGAGGTTGTATCGGGAAAATCATGAAGGATATTTTATGTTGAAATCGTGGTTCAACCATTCCTTACCCATTGAATACCAACTTTCAATAGAAGATTTTTTGGGTGGAACGACCAATGTGCGTTTTTTCAATCTTTGCAAATAACATGAATTTCTAGTGAACAACCGCTTACTGCAATCAACAATCTCTACTATTCGTTCATTCCATGTTACGTACGTTGTTCTAAGCATGATCATCAGCAGCACAGGGATCCACCACTGGTCATCCAGCAAAAATTAAGAATCCAAGTGATCAGTTGTTGGAAAGGAGAGAATGAACCAACACATCATACACAACAATAATCTATCATCATCATCGTTGTTGTCGTCCTCTCAAAATTACAAGGTGAAAAGAGAGAGGCCATAATTTGTACAGCCTACCTATGTAGGACTTGGAGTGAAGGCAGTGAAACAAGAGCCATACTCCTCTTTTGAAAAGAGCTCTCGTCATCACTGTCCTCGTCATTTCCGATATCCCATCACTGCCGCCGCTGCCTCTTAGGCTCTGCCAATGAGGAGACCTGATCCTCCCCCGACGACATCCTAATAATTGAGGGTTGGGTTGGCCGGCGGCGGCAAGATGAAAAGAGGAGAAGAGATCGGGAGAAAAGTGTGGTGTGGAGAAGTCGCTGGATTAGGGTTTTGCTAATGCCTGATTGCTGGGGGCCAAATATGTGTTTTCCTTCTTCATTAACTGTAAGCGAACACCTCTACTTTATCTAAATTATATATACTAGGGAGGTGGTGGCCTCGCTTCGCAGCGGCTCTATGACTGGGTTTGTGGGTTGTTATATATGTAAGCCCGTCTGCCTGCCCTGTCCCAATTAGTTTGACTTCGGTAAATAAAGTGCATAACTTTACTATAATAATATTTGGACCATTAATTTTAATTGAAATTGGATCTCATTGTTGATAATAAATGACTCTTTTATTTCCTCGAATTTTCTTACTTGCCTTTTTTTATAATTTGAATTTGACTTTTTTCACAGATGAAATGGATTCATTGTGATTTACAAAATGATATTTTGAGAAAATATATTTAATATCACTCATTATCACTTTAGCATCACCTTTGTTTTTAGCTCGAATTTTAAAAAAAAAATCACAGAAAGAATGAGTCATCGTCATCAATTTGATGTGTGAATTTCTGAGAATGAATTTTTTGATATGCAATCATTTTATATATTGACACATGGTGGATATGCAATCATCAAAGTAGAATGTAAAAAATATACAGCGGTTGCGCAGCTTCCATACATTTTTGGAATTTCTAACCAATACCACTAAACTTGACTATAAACTATTCAGCTTTCTCATAGTAGAATAGGCAAAGTTTCCTAGATAAAAGCAATGCTAGATTCTACAGCACAATCACTCCTTCGAACACCATGCCTACCTGATTAATTATTGATATCTTCCACATATAAGGTCAGTCTCTGGAACTCTGAATATGAAGTCATGAAATTGGCTACAAAGGACCTAAAATCTAGATGCATCAATAATAAGTGGTTCGGGTACTAAATTCTATAACCTGATTTTCAGCAACCATTCATATATACTCACACCTATATATGAATAATCGCTAACCACAAAGAGCATGCATAAAATAACTTATGTAAAGCTCCAAAACGAATAGGGGCACTTTTGTGAGGACATCAATATAACTTTTTATTTTTACAACCACGAATGAATTGAGAGCGGGGAAGATGAAAGGGAAAGAGACATAAAAAAAACTAATGATAATGGATCAATTGGTTAAGTTCCTTGGAAATTTGGTTATGCTGATGTGATTTATTTCCTTATTTTCCTGTCATCAAAATCACTCACCACCTAGCTATGCATAAACACGCTTCCCCTATGTTCTCTCTCCCCTCCTCGTCAACAGTCAGACCCTTCATCCTCCTCTTCCTGCTCGTCCCTACCTCCATCCTGTTGTTTCTTCCTTTCCCTCTTTTCTTTTTCTTTGATAACTTCATTTCCTTTCTTTCTTGAAATTTGCAATTTGAATCTTGCATGCGTGATTACCATGGCCTATTTGTTCAATTTTGTTGAATCATTGATGAGCAACCCTGCGCAGCATTATGTCTCATCTTCACCATCACGGTCTTTCCCAATTCGAAGAAATCTCTTTTCTTCTCTGGTCGACCTGTATTTACAGCTGCCGAATGCGCTTTGCTTCTCATGCGTCCATGCCTTTTCCGTTTCATTCTTTTTTCATCTCCTCCCTTCTCTGTTTTGCTTCTTCAGCCATGCTCCCACTTTTAGCTAGGTAGGTAGGTAGATCTGTCTATATCCCCTGCTGCCCGATTTCTTTTCGTGCCTATCTCATCCCTTCACGTCGCCGGAGTCCGATTTATAGCACCCATGCTCAAATAGCCTGAACAGGGGGAACATAGACGACTTTTAACCTTTAACACACAAAAACAAAATCATCTCAAATCAAGAAACACCATCATCAGAACCCTTTTACCCAAAAATAAACGGGCGGCAAAGGCTTCGCTCTGGCTGATTTCAGTCATCATTGCTAGCCATACTGCCGTAGAATTTCATCTAATCACAATCCATGTGCAAGGAGGCCGGAGTAGGGATGAAGGGTCGTTATTTTACTTGGTTGGGGAAAAGAAGTAAGTAATGATAATGGATCAATGTGCCTTCCATTCTCTCCTTTTCATTTGGTTGAAGAAACGTGTCATTAGCAAAACCCCTCCGTTCTTCACCACGGCAACCACACGTCTATAAAGACATGGTTGTCACCAAATAAAATGACAGCGGTTCATATTAGAGAAATTCTTATGCTACAGTACCCACCTTATCACTTTAATAGGTATCAGGATAGTCATTGACGAGAATTTGTAACAAAATTTAAATATTAAAATTTAAAATTAACTAGTACTCACTAATGACGTGAAGTATATAAATTCTTATATTAATAATTTACATATATTATTTAGAGACTCTGTAATTCCTAGTATATTCTGGAAAATCATCCGATTCCGTTTTATAAATCATGAATTCCTCTATCCAACTTAATTAGTTAGCTCTACCTATAGTTACACGGTTTCAGAAACAACTCGACTTATAATCCGAATGGGAAAAAGGCAACTAATTTCACACTATAAATATACCAACCTACACTATAAAGGCTTAGGAAAGGGTGAGTAACCATTGGTTACTAATCTATGAATAACTAAATCTGGACCTTTAGATCTAAGTGGGCTCAGAATATCCAGATATAAGGGTTGTCAATTAAAGACATTTTATTTTCCCTAGTTTTCATAACCGGCTCATATCTTCTTCGTTTTAACTCGGATTTCAATTTTTTTTTTTTTTGCACACATGGAACGAGTTCGTTGTGCTCTACAAACTGAGACCAATTTTAAATAAAAAGGCAATATTCATCTGTGTAGCCAAAACTATCACGTTTGTGACAATAATAGCCACTTTTGGCGAAATACCAAATATAGCCAAAATTTTGAAAGTTTCATGACAAATATAGCCATTTACTTACATATTTTAAGGCTAAATTACACGTTTGGTCACTCAAATTACATAAATCTTTCATGTTTGCCACCTGAATCACTTTTCTTTCTTATTCGCCACTAACTTTACGAATCGTTTCACCGTTAGTCACTTACCGTTAGGCTCCGTTAACACCGTCAACTTTTTGATGACGTGGCAAACGGAACTGCTGACTGGACCGTTAACCGATGATGTGTCAATTAAAAAAATAAAAAATACTACTTTAAATAACTATTTTTCTTTCCATTTCCCACCTCTTCTTTACACCTCACCATCAAGAAAATGCCTCACCGAAAGAACAATAACCACCGACCCAGCTTAAACAGCCAGCCGCAACGTCGGTGAGGCTCTCATCTCCTTCCACGTCTACTCCTTCAGTTGTTTCCTCTTCTCCAATTTGGTCACGCTCTCTCAGGCGCAGGCCATTCGGATCTCCTGGACCCTGCTACTCCATCAGCCAAAGCAACCTTTCCATCTCCCCGACGAGTTCTTGGGCTAGGTCAACTAGAATCTCCTCTAGATCGAAATGCTCATCTCCGGCATCAAACCTGCTTTTGGGTGTGTCTTTCTGATGTTGGCTCTCGTTATTGTTGTTCAATTCAAGCTTGGGACTTAGGATGCGGCAGCTCCCACACTTATGCCGCAGTCGTCCCGCTGGTGATTTTTTGTTTTTGTTGCTATCTTGATCTACTCTTCTCTGGTTCTCTACGCTTTCACTCGCTAGTAGTGGGACGCTTTTGTAGATCTGTTCCTTTTGGTTTATATCCAGAGGTGTGATGTCTATGTTTTTACCTATTAGTTTCTTTGGGGAAATAGATCGAACATGTTGTGTGCATTCCACTAGAACATGAAAGGATTAAGGATGTGAAATTGGATTTGGGTTTGATTTGATACTATGTGGGCTGGGCTGAGGCACTCTCCTTACTTTCTCTATAAAGCTCCTATTACAAGCTATATAGCGAGAAGTCTTTTGCCAATATAAAATGAAGAAAAAGACGAGGAAGAAGAATAGAGTCTGGAGGTGGAAAACGGACACGCGAGATTCACTGGTGAGATCCTCCCTTATTCGCCGCAACTTCCGCTGCTTCCCACCGCCACGAGTCCTCCCTCCGTCTCAAATCCAAAAACCCCAACGCTGTCGTCTCCTCCTTCGATGTCATCGCCGGTGCCGGCACGGGAGGCAATTTCGTGATGGTGAGATGGAAACAAGAGGTGGAAAATGGAAAGAAAAGTAGTTATTTAAACTTGTATTTTTAATATTTAATTTTTTAAAAATTGACACATCATTAGATAACGGTCCAGTCAGCAGTTCCGTTTGCCACGTCATCAAAAAGCTGACGGTGTTAACGGAGCCTAACGGCCAGTGACTAACGGTGAAACGATTCGTAAAGTTAGTGGCGAATAAGAAAGAAAAGTGATTCAGGTGGCAAACGTGAAAGATTTATGTAATTTGAGTGACCAAACATGTAATTTAGCCCATATTTTAACGACGTCAGTGACACCGTTAGTCAAATTACCAGAATGCTCACTTGGCTACCAACTCACCTGACACATCATCGCCAACTCAACAAAACTTGCCACATAGATGCCATGTCATATTTAATTTAAAAAAAATATAAAATTATTTTCTCATACTCTCTCCTCTCCCACCACTCGATGCTGTCGTCCTCTCTCCTCTCACACCATCGTCGGCGTCTTCTGCAATTGTCGTCACAACCCCTTTTCTCGCCGGCCATATGAGAAATCCAATCCATACGCATAAATACTCAGATAGGAGAAGAAACAAAATCGAAGCGACAAAAGAAACACGGGAAGAGAGAAAGATAGAGGAATGAGATGCACCTTGGATGCAGATCTAGCAGTCCACGACGGCGGTTGCGAGACACGTCCCAGAAACCTAACTCCACAAAATTGCACAGTCTGAAGGTGAAGAGAAGGGCAGATCGGAGGCACCGGAGGCGGGCGGAAATGGAGATAGCGAGATTTGCGCATAGATCCAGCAACGACGGGGTCGATTAATCATTAACCATCAAAGAAATTTCCAGCCAAAACAACAAATCTGGATTATTTTGCCCTTTTTTTGGACGAAAAGTTCAGAAAGCATAGCATCATCGTCCTTAAGGATGCGACCGACCTTCGACGCCGTCATCTACTGAACCGCCGCTTTGTTGCCTCCAAAATCCCTAAATTGATCGAGGCTTTCCCCGATGCGGCAGACCCATCTTCAAGCATGACCTTCTAGAGAGCTGCCTTATTAAGCGAAGCTTCCTCGTTGCTCTGGATTCCTGGAGGGAGCGGAGATTGACGATGGAGGAAAGGAATTGGAAATCGTTGAATGAGGTGGGTTGAGACACGACGGAGTGGATGACGGAAATTGTCGTAGTCACAAAGAAACCAAAGGGATAGAATGGTGGAGCGCCGAAGGGAAGAAAAAGAGGAGGCAATGGATGGTGCCGGGGAAGCGGAGGGGATGAGGGCGTGATGCCTAGGGAAGAAAAAGAGGAGACGATTCCTCTTAGCCACTCAATCTTCCAAGAGAATTTTCTTTTTAAATAAATGATTTTTTTAATAAATTTTTCATGTCAGCTGTCACGTGTATGTTGACTTTGATTAATTGTAGTCAATTCAACCTTTCCGTTAGTCGAGTCAGCCATTTGGTTAACACCGTCAAAGAATTGGACGGAAGTGGCTATCTTTGGTATTTCGCCAAAAGTGGCTATATTTGGCCAAACCGTCAAAGTTTTGGCTATACAAGTGTATTTTGCCTATATTTCGAGAAACTTTTTATTTACCAACTACATACCATATGGTAACTTCTTCATTTTTAAGTCGTTTTTGAAAACGTTTGCTTAGAAGGAACGAGTTCATCATGATCTATTGTATCTACAAATTTCTGGGTGAAAAAAATACTCGACCAATAATTACCATATTTTACCACTATGGTATGTGGGTGGTAACTTATGGTAAACAATGATGAAAGTCGTAAATGACAGTTAGTAGACTCCTACTATCATGTATTCAACCTTCTTACAATATTGGTATGTTCATACCATCATGGTACGTTTTCTTACCATATGGTATTAAATATGAGCATACCATATGGTAATGACTGGTAAAAAAATATTCAATTTTTTTTGTACTAAAAATATATCAAACCATATTGGTATGTTCATACCATCATGGTACGTTTTCTTACCATATGGTATTAAATATGAGGATACTATATGGTAATGACTGGTAAAAAATTATTCAATTTTTTTATACTAAAAATATATCAAAGTGGATATCATTTTAAATAGCACATTTAATCTGATTTATCTGTGCAAAAAAATTTAAATTTCTACTTAAAACGGGAGAGAAATCGTCCGTTAAAGATTAAAGGAGAAAAGATAAAAGACTTTCCATTAGAGATGAGATGCTGATGTCATGCGGATGTGGACAGGTTACTGATGGTTAGTCACCATAAGAGTTACTGACTTGATCTGCTCCCCACTATAAATATCCCAAAAAGTCCATACTACTTCGCGGAGAGTAACTACTACACTACTCGATCCTTGATCGAGTGTTTGATTGTTTGTACACCACGATGAAGAGTCGTAATCATACATTGTTTGGCAGGATGCTCTTCCTCTTCATGATCACGTTGTTTGTGCCGGTGGTACATTCAGCTGGTTCGCCGTCTCTTAGAATAGGCTTCTATAGACGATCTTGTCCAGCCGCCGAATCCATCGTCAGAAGAATCGTGAGAAGGACGGTGTCTCAAAATCCCGGCATTGGTGCAGGACTCATTAGGTTGCACTTTCACGACTACTTCGTCCGGGGTTGTGATGGTTCAGTGTTGCTGAAATCCCTCCCAAGTGGCCCGAAAGCAGAGAGAGACCACCCGGATATTTTGAGAGGGTTCAACATCGCGAGAGCCAAAAGAAGAATCGAACGTGTCTGCCCTAACACCGTCTCGTGCACCGACATCCTCGCTTTCGCCACCAGGGACAGCTCCCAGATACTCGGACGCATCAACTACCCTGTCCCCGCTGGCCGCCGTGATGGCATCGTCTCCAGCTTCAACGAGGTCACGCAAAACCTCCCTTCCCCGAGACTCACGGCCGACCAGCTTATTCAAAACTTCGCCAGGAAAGGGTTGTCGGCGGACGAGATGGTGACGCTCTCCGGTGCGCATTCCATCGGCAGGTCCCGCTGTTCCTCGTTCTTGGCGGAGAGCCCGGCGACAAGGGGGTACGTGGATGTGAACGCCAGGTACGGTGTGGCGTGGACAGTCTTTTATCAACGTGGGTGCTCTAACTCCGGCTGGTACGGAAGACTGAATCATGTTCTTTATATGATGAAACGTTCAATATTGTTCCTTTCTTACGATTGGTGATCCCGTACGAGTGAAATAAACTCTGGATTTGATCGAGTTTTCCACAAGGATGCAGACCAGATGATTGGAACAACATAAAATCTGGGAAGAGGAACAAAAAACCGCCGGTTTGTCCAGCCTTGGATTTACTCTACTTAAACTTTCCTTTCGTTTTTTACGTGCTGGTGTTAGTGTCTGGTAATTTCCCATGTCGATCAGTTTGATTGCTAAGGATCCTTGCTTTCTTTATCGAGTTCAGAAGTTCCACTATGCTCTCTTTACGTTGGGTTTTCATTAGTATTCTTTTTCATTTGGAAACCTTTCTATAAAACCTCGAGCTTTTTTTCTTGAAGAAAGAAAAATGCGAGAGTAATGAAATGAAGATTATAGTTGTTTTTATATATGGAACTATTAAATGGATTTTTCATTTTTTTGGTTTTGTGGAACCAGCAAATCAACTTCAATGTTGGGATTGTTGGCTTCAATATATGCTTAATTTTAACATATGTGTTTGAGAAAGAATCATGGGAAACCAATTTCTGTTGTTTCAATGCAATTTTAGTTAAACTTTGTCAGTTTGAGAAAGCATCATCACATCCTAAATTCTGCACTTTCTACGTTGTGACCATACCATCATCGTGTTGCTATGCCAACCAGATCCCTGCATCAGTTGAATAGGATAATATAGTTGAGTAGCTTTTAATTAATCATTCTTTTTGGCATGGTATTATTTTAATTGTTCTATTTTAGCATTTGAAGAGCATCAAACTGTACAAGTAATTATCCACAATACTAACAATTATTTCCCGTGAGTAGATCTTAAGAAAGAAATTAAACCACTATGATCCGAGGCTTTGATAACCAAAAAGTTGTGTTAGAATTCCAGTAACCTCGGTTGTTAAGTATATGATATTCAGATTCGTGCAAATTTCAACCATTATGAATTGACTTTCATTTTAGCGGGCATGTTAGGCAATTGTATATGATTCAAAATTGAATCTCTCACAACAATTCGAGTTATTGGGATCAACGAATTACTCCATAGCATGTTGTGGTTTCATTAATCATTGACAAGCTATCTAACAATTCCAAAGGGCAGAATCGATACAATGCACGGTACATAGCACAAAATGACTACGACAACAAACGTTATCGTCCTCATTAATTACAATAAAAAATGAAATAACATCCAATTTGAAACTAACCAAATTATTGGAACCTAATGAATATTGATATCATGTAAGTGAGTTTAAGAAAGGTAAAGAATATGCAAATCCGCATAATTCCTAGCTGATATAAACCTCTCTAATCCATACACAATTGCTCCCCCGCTCCCACAATTAAGATGGTCTTTAAAGGAATAACATAACATCCAAACTCAAAAGATATTTAAAGCTTTGAAAACAATCAATTTTAACTAAGACTCATTTCACTCCTAATAACACAACTCTGCATGGTGTTACGTAAAGAAGAAAGATCCAATACTAAATCTTCCACGGGAGAGTTATACAACAAATGAAAAGAGTTTCTATGACCAAAAGAACCGTTGGCAAAAACACCAAAATGGTGACCATAATCTTCTCCGACTGTTTCATTGCTCTTAGTGATCCTTTCAATTTGTTAGCCACGAAAAAAAGTTTTTTTCTTCGAGAAAGAGAGGGAGAGGGAGTTAACCAGCGTAAACTTGCTCCACTGAAAAAGCAGCTTGTTGATGTCATCATCTGTTGATTCTTCTCATGGAAAGCTACATTCAAACGAAAAGAACTAGTTCTATATTAACATGTTATGCATAGGATTCAGGCTAGCAGATGCTTATAGACTACACTATTTAGACTATGAATTGACCAAAGTTTGTGCCATGATATTATATTCTAACTTCTAATTGCTGGATCTCGATTCTGAATTCTTTAAATTCAAACCAGGAGATCAACTTAGTCAAGTGATAATAACAAATGATTATCTGAATTATCAGAAATACATCAAAGTACATCTAATAAGTGAATGCAATATAGATTAATTTTTGCCATATGAAATGCTTTAGTATTGATCGACTATCTTAAAATCCATTCCATCCCAACTTGAGGAGAGATAGAGAGTGAAAGGGGTGGTTCTTGAAACTTGCCTGTAGAATTATAAGACAACAACTTCCTAGTAGTGGTGGTGATCATCTGGTGATTCTTCACATCGTGTGAAGCTGCATCCAAAGGTCTGATCGACGTAAAAGCACAAACAAGAACCAAGAGGAGGAGGGAAAATATAGCCTTAATTTCCATTGAGTGCTGCTTATTTTTTTTCCCCCTGTGTTTTCTTCCCATAAATAATTAAGGACAGTATTTAATATTTATAGTTCAAGTGTGAGGATGGGCCTAGCTAAGTAAGATTCTGATGGTTGGTTTAATTAGTGGATTAAGACATGGATATATATGCCTTGCGTTCCTGCTTCCACCACATGATTTGGAGAATCGGTTCGTCCAACAAACCAAGCATTCAACCTTTGGCGTGTGACCGATCGAACATTCAAGGCTTTGGTTCCACCGAGCGATCAGCTGGCTAGAAAATGATTTAAGTATAAGTTAATACTATATGTAAGACAAAATGATAAGGTAGCTATCGATATAGATATCCTTCATTTATAATAATTAGAGTTAGTTTTTTTTTTGTTGCCTTCAAATTTGAATCTAGGCCCATAAATAAAAAGCTAGTACCACTAAAAATTAGGAGTGGCTATACGGTCCGGTTAAATTGGTCCAAATTGATCCGGTCCAGTCCGGTCTTTTTGAAATGTAAGGACTAAAGATTGGATTGGATACAGTCTGGTCTTGATCCGGTCCGGTTTTGACCCGGTCCGGTTCCAATTCGGTCTTGTACATCTTCATTTTTTGTGATCTACAAAATTATTTTCATTTTCAATAGATTTTGGAAAAAAATAACTCAGACCACTCTGGTACATCTTGGTACCACTTTCGTTTAAAACTCGAATTTTGAAAAAATTTAACCTGAAACAATGAGTTCCATGTGATTTATTAGATCTACAAATTTATATAAAAAAAATTTAGGACAATATATATCACATATGTACACCCTATTGTATTCATAGCATTATACACTTCAATACCACATGATATAATCTTATGTATTACCAAGTATACCATGATCTAAAAAAAATTTGTTCCAAAATGTATCAAAGTAGACGTCATTTTGAAAAACACAATTAAACTTACAATCATACACATCAATACCACATGATATAATCTTATGTACTACCAAGCCAAGCATACCATGATCTAAAAAAACAATTGTTCCAAAATATATAAAACTGGACGTCATTTTGAAGAGTACATTGAATCTGATTTATCTGTGAAAATTTAAATTACATCTTAAGATATAATATATATATAACCCATTAAAATTAATTAGGAAAAATAGAAACCTTCCATAAATGGTAAATGAAGTGTTGTGCAAGGTTACTGAACATAAGGGTATGCAGCGGATACTCTCCCTAATTTTAGTGCTCTTTTAATTTGTTATTAAGGGAAACCATATTTTTCTCGAAGACAGGGTTTTTCTTAACAAAGAAACTTGCCCCAAACAGGGGTTCAAAAGTCAGTCATACATATGAAATAAGAAAAAACTTGCCCCAAACAAGAAGTAGTTTTCTGGCGGTGCCGGTGGTAATCCCATGTTGATTTTTATTGTGGAAAGCTGCATACAAATAAAATGAACAAGATATAAATCAGCATATTCTGTATGCATATCGGATGTAAGTGAACAAACACTTGTCATAAACCAGTGTCAAAACATGACCCGACCCGAGTAACCCGCCCAACCAACCCGATCCGCAACCTGCCCGCAACCCGATTGGATTAAAAGTCAAAGACCCGCAACCCGCCCGACCCGCAACCCGCCCGACCCGCAATCCGCTTGACCCGCAACCCGCATAACCCGCAACCCGCTTGACCCGCAACCCGCTTGACCCGAACCCGATTGACCCGCAACTCGATTGCCCCGCAACCCGATTGACCCGTAACCCGACTAACCCGAACCCGATTAACCCAACCCGAACCCGCCCGATTGGCACGAATAATACTACATAATATATTTTTGTGCATAAATATTATATGTAAATAATATATATAAATTTTACTTGACTTGCCTTATTATTTTTTTCATCTTTCTCACCAAGAACAAAGGTTTACTTTGTGTTGACAAATGACAACTGTCATTAAATTGAATCACATAATAGTCTCACTGTCTCGGTAAATTGAATCACATAATACTTTTTGGTCTCTCTGCCTTTTAGTTGAATCAAATAAACAACAAGCTCAAATTATAACAAATCAATTACGTGGACTAGTTGGCTTATGTGCTGGTCTTTCCCATCCGAGGGACACGGTTCAAAGCCTAGTAGAGACATATTTTTTAACATGTTTTTGTATGTCAACTTATACATAAAATTCACTTAATGTTTTTGTATGTCAACTTATACATAAAATCCACTTAATGTATAACATAGTTAGTAAAATATGGTACGAGAAAGTTACGTATAAAATACTTACGGGTATTATACTTCGTCTCTTAGGTAATGCTACGTTTAATAGTACGTTAATAGTAATAAATATATAAAACTAATTACTTTTATAAATAAATCAATATGTAAAAATAGTAAATTTAATAATACATAAAATTCACTTAATGTATAGCATAGTTAGTAAAATATGGTACGAGAAAGTTACGTATAAAATACTTATAGGTATTATACTTCGTCTCTTAGGTAATGTTACGTTTAAGAGTACGTTAATAGTTATAAATATATAAAACTAATTACTTTTATAAATACATCAATATGTAAAAATAGTAAAGTTAATAATTCATTTCATTAAATACGGATATTAAACGTTTGGAGTCGTAGGACATATGTTATGTTGAAATCAGCGGATTAAATCAAGTTGGAGATTGTCAAATTCTAACCGTTGCTATTGTGCAGCTCAATCTCAGGATCCACATAGGGAAACTACTGCCTT